TGTTGTGCATGACATGATAAGTGGTTCATATACTAGCGGCTTCGGATACGATAGTGTAAAGCATTGTGTGGTTGCTGAAGACCAAGTTTGGGAGTTGTATCTTCAGGTACATGCTAAAAAAACTTGTTATTTATATTTGCGTAATATATAATCATGGTTATATGCATATTTATGTTATTCTATTATGAAATAGGTCCATAAAAGGGCGGGAAAATGGAAGAACAAAGCGTATCCATTTTATGAGGATCTTTGTATTGTATTTGGAAAAGATCGGACTCAAGGAAATAGAGCAAGAGATTTTGTTGAGGCGGAAGAAGAGGTGCGTATAGAAGATCAAACACAATACATGAATGACGAGTCTAATGGTGTGATGGCAACTAGCAATATTCAAGGTGGCAATGCAAATATGCAATTTGAAAGAACTTCAAGTGGGCGTGGTAAGAAGAGAAAACGTCGAGTAGATCCCATGGCTGACATATTCAGGAATGCGGTTAGTAAACTTGGAGAAAATCGCGAACAAACTTAACAAGGGTATCGAACGAGAAGAACTTGATAAGAAACGTTCGATGATCACTTCTGAGATCTCAAAAATGCAGACATTGGCCCAACCAGAGAAGTTTAAAGTAATTTTAATGATAAGAGACGATCCTGAAAAAGTGAACATGTTTTGGGACTTGCAAAAAGCAGATAGGGAAGCTTATGTGAATTGGGTTTTGAATGAATGAAAAAATTTGGTGGCTATATGTGTCTTTGGAAGAACAATTAGTAGTTAGATATGTATTTGGATTAACAGGTTTGTTGGTTAAGTATGCATTTTGGATTAATAAGTTTGGTGATTAAATATGAATTTTGGATTAACAAGTTTATTGGTTAAATATGTATTTTGGATGAACATGTTTGGTGTTTAAATATATATTTTGAATTAATAGGTTTGTTAGTTAAAATATATAGTTTTGAGAAATTGAAAGAGATTTGGTGACTAAAATATACAATTTTAAAGAAATTGATATCAAAAAGGTAATTTATCAATAAAAAGAAATTCTTTATAAAACAAACAAATAATTATTAAAAAAAAAAATCTCAATCCAAATCTTACAAACCAAACATGAATTATAAAAGAATGGATTTCAAATCCATTCCAAATCCTACAAACCAAACACAATAAAAGATGTTAAATCCAATCCAATCCAATCCAATCCAATCCAAATTCATTAAAAACAATCCTGCAAACCAAACGCACCCTAAAAAAATCCTTAACGTAATTTTGAGATAAGCTCTAATGAAATTTATATCAACTCCACTCCACCATTTGGTTTGGTTGATTCAAGATGTACAATCATCCCAAGCACAAAACAAATATATGCATCTAACCTTTGACCGGGTAAATCCTTGAGTAGAGGGTAAAATAGGGAAGTTAGGATTCGCCTACACCAACAAACATTTAGGAACCGTTTACCAAACAATTATCCAGATTAAGTGCTTATTAATAAAATTCAACATTGTCAATTACTTACAAAATAAGATTTTAATCCACCAAAACAGTAACGTATTTAATAACTTACCCGGTAAGCACTCGCCATGGTAAAAATCGTCGTCCTCAATTGCCAGTTACCAGGAAAGACTCTCGATCCTTGTCTTCACTTTTACTAGGTAATATTCTTGGTCCTTGCTATATGTATTTGGTCAGGTTATATGACTTGGTAAGCCTTATCCAGATAAGCGTTTGATAAACCACCCCTCAGTCAATTATGAAAAATTGAAGGCAAATACAGATGAATATAGGAAAGCATAATAAAAACAAAATCAAGATTTACACAATAGAATTCTTGCATTCACAGGAATCCATATGGTTTAGAGCCAAAAAAGAATAATAATAACTGAGGCAAGTTTACAAAATGAAATGCCTCTTCTCCCTCCAATCCACCAACCATCCTATTTCAATTCTGACATCATCACCATCATCATCACAAGTTGTGAAGTTGTATTCCCAGCAGCAGGATACAGAATCAAAATAGGTTTTCTTTCAAGGCATCACCATCATCATCATCATATATATATATATATTATATATATATATATACTTACCAACTGAATCAAACACCTTTTCGATGTAATCTGGCCCGCCCCTTCTTTCTTTGGCAGCATGGATATATAATATGAAACAAGATGACGATGATGCAATCCGACTATGATAAACAAGACACAGGACTGACCGACCGACCGACCAATGCATGGACTCAAAATTGCTCCCTCCAAATGAGAGAATAACAAAACAAAATGAATCAACAAAGAAAAAAATATGAATGATGCAAAATATAACGGTTTTCCTAAAATGTATGCACCCTGACTTGAGTATATAGAAAACAAACACCCAGTCCCACCTGGACCAATGCAAGACTCAAAATTGACCGACTCATACAACCAGAACCACCACCAGGATGAAATGGGGTCGTTTAGACAGATAATTTGATTTTCCTCCCCTACCCCAACCACCCAAGACCATAATGCCACCACCATTACCCCCCGGATGAAATCCCCACAACAGCTTCAAAACAACTTAAGCTGTCACCAACATTGTAAGACGACCAGACAGACGGACCCGACCCGACTCGACTCACCCATATGCATGCAGGGACTTCTAAATTAAAAGGGAAAAATGTATGTACTAAATGGAAGAAGCCTCAAACAGAAATAGCACGGCTGATGGCCAACTTGGCCCACTCCGCAGATTCCTTGATCAAATGGTCATCTGAAGACAAACATTCATTCAAGAAGTCTTTGCTCGAAAGAGATTGCTGAATTAGAGACCCAGCATTACTTCCGAGTGTATCGGCTAGATCTCCAAGGACTCCAATTGCAGTTTTCATCACCACGTCATCCCTGAAAGTATGAACACATGTCAGAAACCAAATAAACAAACATTCATAGATGAAGCATCACAAGTAGAAACATGTACTCACATGTCTTTCTCCATATAAATCAGATCAAGGAACTGGATAATGTGTGGGGCATAAGGAATTAACAACTGAGTTTTAGGAGAGTTCTTAAAACCCTGAAAAATCCCTGAATAGGCCTCCAATATGCCATTTCTCAAGAGATTGGTGTACTCTATCATTTCATCATCAGCGCCTGATGTATGGGAGGATAGCTCCGCTGCACTCTGGAGCATAGGCATAGCATACATCAAGTATTTCTCAAAGTTCTCTCCTATTGCCAGTGCAATATCACCAAAACATGAAAAGATTGGTGGCTTCACTGATCGATGCAACTGGTTGCTTGCTAGGTCTTTAAGAAGTTGGGTCATGATCCCATCACACCATGGTAACACCTTCTCCTCCACAGCCCTGCATATGTCACCCACCACACCTACAGTCACAGCACACACTTGGTACTCTTCAAAGTTCTGAATGCCCATTTCCAGGTACTTATAGAACTCTGGCATATACTTTGCAAAGTCTGACCCTGTTGCATAGGCAAGGGCTCCTATCGCAAGCATTGCCTCCTCATGAACAGTTGCACTTCGACAAGCAAAAACCCTAAGGAAAAGACTCATAATTTGATCTGCATACTGCATGAAGACATACTTAGTTGGTTCTGATGATCCTAGCTTTTGAATAATAACCTGTAAGCACCCACAAAGAAGGCCTTGCAACTCATTCTGCTTCTGTCTCTCATCAGAAGAAAGCTTTTGTTCTTCAAGAGTCTTGTGGAGTTCCATCATGATGACAGGAACAAGCTGCAACACCATGGGAGCTGTTTCATCAGTGGAACACCTGACAACTTCATTTAATGTTTCGTAAGCTGCAGTCCTCAATCGAGACTCTCCAGCATCTTCTCTATGAGTAACTGTCAGAAGGGATTGGACGATTTCTTGGAAATAGGGAGTCAAGGGAGATGACTGACCAATATCCTCGAAACCTTGGGCAAGAAAATAAAAAGCACCACATGCTTTCTCAGCAACATTTGGAGCATCTTTCATGCTCTGGAGAAGAACTGTGATGATCTGTTGGCAGTTAGCTGGGGTAATGATGGATGTCTCCATGGTTGAACCATGAAGAAACTCGAATATTCTTCCAAGGGTCCAAGCTGTTGTGTCCTTCACATGGTTGTTTGGGTCTTTGGTTAAAGCTGTGAGCATGAAATTTAGAGCAACGTTAACAAGAGGAGTTAACTTATTGGGTGATGGACCCTCCAAGATGGAACCAAAGGCATAAGTCGCGCCCTCTCTTTGCCTCCAATCAGGTTTCGTTATATTCTCTTCAATGAAGGGCATCACAAGTGGAACAATATCATCTCCAACTGTTCGTGCAACCAAACCAAGGCACGTTCCCCCGGCCATGGCAAGATTCCAAGCACCTTCATCCTGATCTTGATCTTCTTCTTGCTTCAGCAGTGTCTCTAACAGCATGGGAACAAGAGCAGGAAGAGCCTGCTTGATGAAATAAAAGCAAGGAACATCAGAATCAGCAGTAGTGAAGTCAGCCCCATAGTCTTCTAAGATATCTATCTCTTCATCACATATTGAGCTCCAAAATTCAATGGCTTGTAGAGCAACTGGTTCCTCATCTTCCCTCACTGCCTTGGCAGTAATGTTGAAAATATCCTGGATGTATGGAGCTAATTTCTCATAGTAACTTGATGATATGGACACCAAACACTCAAAAGCTGCCTGCCGGATTTTCACTTCCGGTGATAAGGTTGCCTCACAAACAACTCTCATAATGTAGTCCCGCTCCATATCATTAGAGAAATTCACCTGAGCAAAACTAAGAGCATTATACAATGCTCGTGTAGCAGCAAGCCTGACATCGTTACTACCTTCAGATGCATTCATACCTTGAACTACAGCTGTAAGTATTTTATTAACATGATCTTGTTCTACAACGTCCGGAGAAACTTCTTCGCACAAATATCCAAGAGTTTCTAAAGTGGCTTGTTTGACATGAACTGGGACCTGGTGAATATTTGATAACAATGAACCAATAAGCTCTGGCCACTGTTTCTGTGGCAGCTCTATACCAGCAACTTTAGCTATCACTTGTGATGCAGTAGATCGTGCCTCATGGACAGGAGAAGAGAGTGTCTGTAACAAGCATGTCTTTATCTGTGTCTTAACACCCACATCTAGTGATAACCATCTTTGGACAAGCTCAAATTTTCTATGTTGCTCTTTTGCATCCAAGGCATTCTTAAGAATTAAACCAGCCAATTTCCGACTGTCAACAGGCTTCTCATCACTAGCAAGTTCTCCAGAAAGAGATAATAGAAACCCAGCTAGGTTTTGCTCCTGAAAGTGCTTTAAACTTTCTTCGGCATGCTTCCGAACAGATCCATCAACTGATTGTGCATTCAACAGAATTTGGGTAACTTCCATTGCCATATTTTCTTTCAGATAACTGTTTCATCACAAAATCGGCAACTGATGATTTAAATAGAGAGAAACTAAGCATTCATAACAAAAGATGCATCAACTTTGAAGAACATTACAAAAAAATGAAATTGGAAAAACTAGACAAGCATTGTGAAACACAGAAGGAGAGACTCTTTAAGGTTTTACTTCATCCCTGGAAAACAGACTCTGGACAGAAATCTTTTAGGTCAGAAATCAATATACAACCTATCCCAAAATAAGCACATGGTTTAAATCAATAGGTTTCTAATATAACCACCATAAGAGACAGGGGTAACAGTGAAGTAACTTTTGCCAATTGGGTTAGTTGTTGTATACGTCAAGAAACATATATAGCATCAATATCAGATTCTAAACACATATCCATTTAACAAACCAATTCATCACCATACCACCATCCGCCTAATTATCTATGCAGTTGTGACAACCATATAAGAAACCATAACTACAGCTATACATAATAGACTAAAAAGTGATGCATAAGTCTTACGAAGCCAAAAAGCCTCCATTTTCTTGTCGAAACAAATCTACTGCAACCAAGGACGGTCCAATACAAGCATAAAAAATAGGCAGATTACGGATCTAAACGCATTTGAATAAACGCATGGCAACGGAAATAGTGCCCAAATACGATTCATGACTGTTACAACAGTTCGATTCTGAAATACGCAAGGATCAAACATGAAGTATTGGACTGAAAAGCAGAGATCGTATGAATACGTCGAAAAATTGAAATTTCAGCGTACATCGAAACCTACCAAATTGATTAAAATAGTAAGAAGAGGTTTAACAACCCGAATTACCTGAAGAATAAGTGATAAACACTCTCCCCGATAAGCGAACAAACAACCAAAAACGGCGCTTCTGGAAACCCTAGAGAGAGAGGGGTGGGGGGAGGGAGAGAAGACTGGAACTACAAATACATTACCTGTCTCTATAATTATATAAGTATAAATATATTATGATAAAATTAGTTTTGGGCCCATTTATACACTCCAAATTTTAAACGTTACCATGTTTGTTAGGAATTAAATATTACAATCTTACAAGTATTTTCTAATCATTGTTACCACATGAAATTTGATTTAATTCCTTTTATAAATACAAATCATCAATCAATTTTTTAATAATTCAAAATAAAAAAATACCCCAAAAAATTAATTAAGCATCTTGTAAAATAGTATTTATTTGTATTGAAATAAATTAGTTGTGTATCCATGTTATATACGTCTTTAGCTTAAATCAATAATAAGCAGGTGTTCCGGATTGTTATAAAAACAATTTATTGACTTATTTCGGTGTGATACAGTTAATAAACACTTTTGAGAGTTTGGATAAACAACTTATACCGGTAATAAAAAGTTTTTAAAGAAGTTAAACTTTTATGACTTATAATAAGTTGACAAGTGCTTTTGTAGAAAATCATAAGTTGTTTCAAATAAGCAATCTCAAACACCCCCTAGAATTAATATGATTTTTTGAAAAGAATCTTAATTTATGTTTCGACAAAATAGAAATTACAAATGGTAGTTCGATATATCTTGCTATTTTGATTAGTCGGTGAAGAAAAACAAAAAAAATATTAATATGAATAGTATAACTTGTTTATAATTTATATATTTTATATTTAAAAATAAGAATTGGAGTTTATTTTAGTTTTTAATGGTTGTATATTCCGTCATATTAATAAAGATCAACGATTATTCTGCATCTGAACTTAGAGGTTACTCGGTAACAACTTAAGGGTTATATATGATATATGACTTATTCACTCAGTCATATAGGGTTGTTCGACCTTCGTCATTGCTCAGACAATGACTTATTTGCTAAGCCGGTTAGATGGTGTTGTACCCTTAAGTGAATTTTTTTTCCATCTCATCCATGCCCTTTTAAGTGTGTTTAGTATCCAGACAGGATATGATTGAACAAAAAAAGAATAAGACATAACAACTTAACATTTGGTAAGATGGAATAGGATAGGATAAAACAACAAATTTATCCATAATGAGTTGTTTATATATTTGAATTAATTTACGTAATTGATTAAACTATAATAAAATAAATATTTTTCATAACAAGATATATCATTAGAAAATTTTCGTCAAGTCGATTAAAATGACACAAAAATAAAAAGTTTACATAGTTTTCATATTTTTATTTTATACTTTTTTATATTATTTTGTTATTATTAATATCTAGTAAATTACATAAATTTATCAAAGTATATAAAGAGTAAAAAAAATATTTTGAAAACAGTAAGATAAAAGTTTAAAATGCATAAAATACAATGAATAAAATGTAAAGAATGATGTGTATTTGATGTTTTAGAAGATAATTAGGTTTTATTTTAAAGTTATATTGGTAAAATATAGGTCAGTTTCACCTTGTTCCATGGTCTTCCTATTTATTCCACATAACATCCTGTCAAACATGAAACAATAATCTTTGTTCTGGTCTGGTATATGTCCTGTCCAGTGTTCCAAATGCACCCTTATGGAACACGCTCACTTTTAGCAACAAAAAAAAAATACAAATCACTCAAACATTCTTGTTCTGACGAGGCTCTGGTTCTTTCTCTAAATTATTTGCGATTGCCCATACCTACTTAGCTTGAACCCCGATCTTTCCCCGATTCCTCGTATCTAGAAATCAATTGGAGATCGAGAGAGTGTGTAAATTAGGGGTTTATGGAAGGACGCATATCCTGGGTGCTGAGACATGGTAAGAGAATTCGAAATGAAAAGGGTTTGATTGTTTTATTGATGGTTAATTTTTTCCGACTTGTCTTTGTTTAATTGCCTTATGTTTTCTCCTATTGATTTTTCATTTTGCTATGATTTGATTTTATTTGTTTCAGATATAATTATGAAATATAAACGATAAACGACAAAAACATTCTAAATGAAAAGGGTTTAAACTGCTTTTGAATTTCACAATTTTTTTCTCGAGATTTTTATTTCTTGGAATTTTTTATTATGTGAAACCTAAATTTGGCATGCTCTTCAAGAATTGATTTTGGATTTGGCAATAATTTGTGAAACACATTTGGAATTACACATTTGAAATTACTTCTGAGATCTAAGTTACACAAAAATCAAATTTAATATTAGACATTATCTTCTTTCTTGAAAGAAGCTAGCCTTCCACTTTGGATGCCTAGAACCCTAGCATGTTGCACTTCATAAATTTTAATAGTTGTAAATGTACTCCTCATGCAAAAGATGAAATGTAATCTAAAAGCAGATTTGAAGAAATCTAAATTTTTTTTCACATTCATATGTTTTATCTTTGGCACCTAAGCATTTACACTGCAACTATTGTGGTTCAAATTCTTTCGCCATAAATGTCAAGTGCAAAAAGCACATTAGATCTAAGAATTCTGAATCTCTATCAGACCTTTCACATAAATCAAAAGCTATAAATGGTTCACGTGCTAATAAGAAAAATGGTCAAAAGAAAAGTTTTTCAAAGAAAGAGGAACTATATTTTGTGGATGTAAAATTTGTTTGAAAATGGGTTCTTAAGAAAAGTATGAATGGCACATTAAATCCGTATTTACTAACCTGACTTCTAACCCAGAAGGACTCATTATGAAATGGGTATCTAAATCTGAGTGATTGTGTTTACAGGACTGTCATGTGTGGTACATACACTCTGGATGGTCAAGACACATGACACGACACATACTTTTTGACTGAGTTTAAAGAAAAGTCTGGTGAAACAGTCACTTTCGGAAACAAAGAAAAAGGATACGTGAAAGGATATGGCACATTATCCAATGACACTGTGATGATAAAGAAAGTGTTTTATGTCAAAGGACTAGAGCATAATCTGTTCAGTATAAGCCATTTTTGTGACAATGGATTTAACGTCAAATTCCTTGTTAAAGGTTGTACCATCATATATTCGGATGGAACTGAAGTTATTCGAGCCGAAAGTTATGGTAATTTGTATGCTGTGAACTTTTCAACTCTGAATGCTTCTTGGCCTATTTGTTTGGTCTCTAAGACTACAAAATAAGACAGTTGAATATGGCATCGCAGATTATTTCATCAGAACTTCAATGATATTAATAAACTTGTAAGCAAAAATCTTGTTGTAGGCCTACTAGAACTGAGATTTGACAAGGATTCATTGTGCTCAGCATGTGAAATAGGAAAGATGATCAGAAGTTCCTATAAGGCAAAGACTGAATCGTCATGAAAATCTCCACTCAAAATGATACATATGGTTTTGTGTGGACCTATGCGGACTCAATCTATGGGAGGCAAAAAGTATATTTTGGTAATGGTCGACGAATATTCCAGATATACGTGGCTAGAGTTTGTAAGAGTCAAGTCTGATGCGCCAGAACTGATTATCGCATTTATAAAGCGCATTCAAGTTCTTTTACAAATTCCAGTGTAAAAAATCCGAAGTGACAACGACACTGAATTAAAAAATGAGACTCTTAACCACAAGGGTGGTGGCTGATTGGTTTGAGCTTGGCTCCAAAAGTCAAAAGTACATGAAGGTCCTAGATTCAAATCCAAGGAGGAATAAAAATCCCCTTGTGGCCACGGAGGTTCAAATGCGGCGACTTTTGACTATCTGCAAAGCAAGTGGTCACTCTAGAATTAGTCGGCTCGTATAGCGAGTTGGATATCCAGGTTAATAAAAAAAAATGAGACTCTTCAAAGTTTTCTTCACTTTGTCGGGATTTCTCATAATTTTTCTGCTTTTCGAACTCCGCAACAAAATGGAGTTGTTGAAAGAAGAAATCAGAATTTAGTCGAAATTGCACGAACAATGCTTGCATACTTTGGCTTACCTCTTTATCTATGGGTTGAAGTTGTATCTACTGCATGTTTCACCCAAAATAGTACGATCATTGTCAAAATATTAAATAAAACTGCTTATGAGATAATTAACAAACGCAAACTGTAAGTCCACTTTAATGATCAATCTTCAATAAACCTTCAATAATCCATGACAGATTTGATTTTCATTCAAGAACAATATGGAAGGAGATGAGAGAGAAAGTCAAACCATCAAAGTTTGGTCAAAACCTATTATTACGTAACTGATTTTACAATGAAGTTCTTACCAAAATTATACTAAGACTAAACTATATATAGGGTCAAAGATGAAACCCACTAGTCAAACTCAAAGTACATACAAAGTCAAACACGATGTCTATTTTTATTATAGACAATAGTAACTTTCAAGACGAATACAATTTAACACTGAAATTCAATTCTAACATTCTCCCCCTTTGTATTCAGGCTTGAAAGAATTTGCACGCGTTGAATCTTGTTTGAACTTTTTCACTTTAAGCTCTTTATGACTTCTTCAAAACAATCTTCAATTTGAGAACTTCAGACGATCGTTAGTTGAGAAAATTTTCTGACATTCTCCCCCTCGCATGTAGAACAACAACGATCTTCTTTTTTGACAATGTAGAACAGTATCAACAACGATCTTCAGATATAATCTTCAAGATGTGATCTTCAATGAATTTCTTCAGATAACGAATTACAAACTTTATCCCCAAAAATGAATTTCTTCAGATAAAAATTCACAAACTTTCTCTTCGATAAGAAATTCCTGTCAGTAAACTTTTGAAACGATGATCTTCATATTCAAAAACTCTCAAACATTTTAGCATAGGAATAATCTTCTGTAATAATCTCCAGTCACACTCCTTTTGAGTCTTTTGTCATCATTGATGTTACTCTCCCTTGATCTTTACAACATACTCCCCTTATATCATTCGGAATTGATCATTTCATTCATTATTACATACTCCTCCTTATGATGAAATGAGAATCATTACGTCATACATAAAAATGAATGAAATCTTCCGCGAAAGCCGTCAATTCATGAAATTCTAAGCAGATCTTTT